CCCGGAATATGTAGGTTTATAACAAGCATGCATAATGATTCAACCTGAAAATATTGCCTCTTTTTACCTTTTAAAGTAAGATTAAGTCGTTTTAAACATGACCATTCGTTTGTATCGGATACTAGTTGTAATTGATGATTTGCTTCAAGAATAATTTTAAGTGAAACTAATGAAGGTACAATCCATTGCAATCGACGTAATTCTAAAAAATTACAAGTACCAGCATCTAATATTGTCAAGTTATGTAATGGAAATGTTACATTATGATCAAATATATCCCCATAAGATATCGAAAGATTTTTAAGAGATTTTAATTGAGTTAATGTTTGACCAATTAATAATGGTTCAGATGATCTACATGTTGTAATTAATGAAGTAAGATGTTTAAGTTTAGATAGATCAGATAATATTGGATATATTTCTTCATATGTTATTGATAAAAGTGTAAGAGAATGAAGATTAATAAAATCACGAAGATTAAATTGACTAAAAAAAAATTGAATTTGACCGGGTGTTTTTATATCATTTGATAAAGTTAAAGAAATAATTCTTTGTAATTCTAAATGGTTACAAATGAAATCAAAACGAGATTTTGAAATTGATTGAAAGTTTAATGTATGCCAATGATGATGATTTAATACGGCATTTAAATATGGACTGATATTATAAAATGACCATAGAACATCGGAATTAGACATAAATTCAAATATCATATGAAGAATTTCAACTGGTAGACGATCAAAATATGTTGTCATTTTGAAAAAATCAATGCGAATCTAATTAATAAACTTTTAATAATAAAAAACAGCAGAGTAATAAGACAATTTATCTTGGCATTACCCACTGAAAAACTAAAAATCAAAATTAAAATCGAACCATAATCAATTTTAATTTGATTAAAATTATCGAAAAATCCGATTATAACTAATTATAATTTTGAGTTTGTTGCAGAAAAATCAATTTTAATTGATTATTATCTACCTGACTGTAGAAATACAGAGTGAGCCATAAATAACACACCGCTAAGAAATTTGAATATCTCCATTACGGCTCCTGTAAACGCGCTGATTTTTTTATGATAGAGGCATGTTCAAAGTTTACATCCATAAAGACGTGCCTAAAGAGAATCTTTGTTAAGTATCAATATTGATCTTAACAGAAAAAATTTACTTTTTCACGTGTGAGGAAAAAAGTAATATACAAGCTAGCGCGAAAGCCATACTTTGTCGAAATATTAAATATTTCTACTAGAGCTTCAGGAAACAAACTGAGTTTTTTATCAATAATAGAGACATGCTTAGAGAGACTTTTGGTAAATATATTATTTTTTTTCCTATACGTGAAGAGGTGAATTTTTTTTGTTGAGATTAATATTGATACTTAACAGAGGATCTCTTTAGGCACATCTTTATGAACTTAAACTTGGAACATAAGTTTATCATTGATAAAAAAAATCAGCTCGTTTATTCGAGCCGTAATGGAGATATTCAAATCTCTTATCTAGGTATTATTTATGGGTCACACTGTATATGTTATTCTCAAATAATCCTGTATTAAAATATATGAATATAGAATATTCGTCTCTGTATTCAACTAACCTAAACTTAAAGAAAAAATCAAATTTAATTGATTACTATCAATCTAACTGTAAAGTAAAACTATATTCTCGAATGATCCGATACAAAAGTATATTAATATAGAAGATTTGTCTGTACCATATAAATACTACATACCCAAGGGTGTTGTTATCTTTTGAAAAAAAGGCCCTTTCTTCTAGAAATAATCCGATTAGATTGCTCATAATCCAAAAGAATCATG